TTCTTGCGCTGATCCGCCAACTCATGGTATCTCAGCGCCATTAACAAAGGGAGGAAGAAGCTCAGCCTCGTCTGACTCGGATCTCCCTGCATCAACAACATACTGAATTTCATTGATGGCCATCCTCCTCCTCCTATGTACATTGATGATGCTACTAAGAAAAGTGAGATCGTAAATCCAGCTTACACTATTTTGCAGAATCGTGATCAACATTTACTCAGTTGGATCATCTCCTCTATTTCTCCTTCACTAATGGTATCCCTCTAGGGCTTGGACACATCTTACTTGGCATGTCAGTCTATTACTGCTCGTTATGTCTCCTAGTCCAAGTCTCTAATTTTACACCTAAAGCGTCAAATGCAGAACTTCCAATAGGGCATTTTGACTTGTGCTTCCTACCTCTTTTAAGCCAAGTTTCTGGCTAACCAACTTTTTGCTGTCAGGAAGCCAGTGGATGATGATGATGATCTCATTTCATTCATCACGGGTGGCCTTAATTTCAACTACACGCAGCTCATCTCCTCCTACTCCTATCATCAAGCCGGCCCTCAAATTTTGGAGGCGTTAATCTAACTTCAAATAATGGGGCCCTATAAATTTATTAAACAAATGTGGAAATTAAATTTTCTCAAATTTTTTTGATAGAAAATCAATAATTATACTATTACATTAGACATTATGGTCAATCCATTCAACATTTTGTCAATTTTTTTGCCGAATGTAGAATTTTATCAAATTCAACTTTGAGAAGCTCATCTCGCCGTATGTAAATGGAATTGGTATGATTAGTAATATTCTATAAGTAGTCCATTTTGAAAATAACAATATGTCAGTTTTATATAGTCTAACACTTCAATCACCTTTTTGGTCTCTTCTAACAATAAGTTTCTCATGCCCATCAATATCATAATCCTTATCGTGCTTCGAATATTCTTAAAACTTATCACACAAACACTCAAAACAATTATTATTTTCAGTTTGCAATATTTTTAAAATCAAACAGAAACCCAAAAATATTTTCATATTTTTGAAATTGCTCAAATCTTAATAAAGTAAAGAAAGAGCTTCATCAACTATCTAATCAACTCTATAAGATTCTTTAATTCAATATATTATTTCATCATTAATATTTTCATGAAAATGTTTTTTCTATGAATAATACGGTTTTCATGAAATGTAAGTTCAACTTTCATTTGAGCAGCAATTTCTTTAACGGTAATCTTGTCAGATTTAGATTTAGTCTCTCTATATTCTAAAAAATAAAAAATAAAAGTGCTTTCAAGTGATAATATTAACATTAATTGACATGTACTCACTTTGCAATCTTTTGCTTAATCTATTAATGATAGAGCAAATAATAATGCGAAACAATAACTCAATCACATAATGTCAGAAAATAAACTTTTACCATCTCTCAATACCTTTTGTTCAGCACATGTTTTCACCGTGTGTTGTAAAGCGACTTTCACATATGGAGCTTAAAATCTTAGGGTCCGTTTGATTGTAAAGGTGGAAAATGGATGGAAAGAAAATGTTTTAAATGGAATTGATTTGCCTAGAAATTGTTTTATTGAGAATTGTAATTAATTGTATTTGAATAGTATAATTTTTCATGAAAAATGTTGAAAGTTTGGTGTCCGTTTGACTTCTTTTTTATGAAAATTGCCAATTAAAGTGATAATTTTTTCTACCAATGGGTCTAGAATTTGTTCCAATTGGATAAAAAAATTGAAAAAAAATTGTCATACCGAATACCATTCGTTTGACTTTGTTTTATATGAAAATTGTCAATAAAAGTGATAAACTTTTTTACCATTGTATTTAGAATTTTTTCTAATTGCAAATAAAAAAACTGGAAAATGAAAATCCACCTAAAAGGTGGGAGAACAATTTCCCCAATTTCATGGAAAATGTGCACGTGTGGGGTGTAAGAGGGAAAAAAATTTCCATGGAAAATTTGTACTATCAAACAAGCTAAAAACTAGAAAATGGAAAAAAATTTCCTACTTCCATGGAAAATGAGGGTTATCAAACGGACCCTTATTGCTTTAGCACTTTTAACTTAACTTTCGTGACGTATTTGATATAGTGATCTGAGTGTTAGACATTTCACATTATATTGAATTCGTCCCTTTGTAGAAGATGAAAACAATATATGCATTGGACAATTTCAAAAAAGGATAGTCTTTATAAAAGAATTTATCATATCACAATAGGTATGATTAAGACTATGATAACTACACGATGTTTAAAATGCCCTTGGATGTACTTCTAGTACTCTTTGCTATAACCATTAACACTTCCCTTTCATATTAGATGTGATATAAGGGCATGTTTGATTTCCTATGTTTTCCCTGGAAAATGGAAAACAATTTCCATTTTCCACGAATTTGGTTGTTTGATGGCAAAGTTTTGCAATGGAAAATATTTTCCATTTATGCCTCACACGTGCACCAATGGCTTGATTTGGTGGAATTCATTTTCCCACCTACTTGGTGGGAAAAGGAATTCCAGTTAGATACAAAAAGATCTAAAATTTTAAAATTTTCTGGGTGAAAAATTATACAAATCAAACATACTTAATTAACAATTCACTGGAAAACAAAAGTAAACAAACTTCTCTCTTGGAAGTGATTTTGTCAGAATGTCCGCCAACTATTCATGTGTACTGCAGTGCTTCAGCACAATTTCTTTACTTGTAACCAGGTCTCGAATGAAATGCAGACGAATGTCTATATGCTTGGTTTTCCCATGGATTTTTTGTCATTGCAATCGCTGGCTTGTTGTCATTGTAACCAGGTCTCGAATGAAAGCTGGATTTTTTGTTATTGCAATCGCTGCCTTGTTGTCACAACAAATATCTGTTGCGTCTTCTTGCTTTTGATGAAGATCTGCGAGAATTCTTTTGAGCCAAATTGCTTGACAGGCTGCTGAAGTTGCTGCAACATACTCTGCTTCTGAAGAGGATAATGCTGTTGTAGATTGCTTCTTTAAACTCCATGAGATTGCTCCTGTTCCAAGGTTGAAAACACTAGCTGAGGTGCTTTTTCGATCATCTATTGAACTCGCCCAGTCTCTATCAGTGAACCCGCAAAGATTGAAATCTGAAACTTGAGTATACCAAATCCCATAATTTGCAGTTCTAGCAACATAGCGTAAGATCCTTTTTCCTTCTCCAAGGTGATGCTTTGTAGGATTTTGTATGAACCTAGAAATTACTCCAACAGAGAAAGCAATATCTGGCCTAGTGTGAGTCAAATAAATTAAACCTCCAACCAAGCTTCTGAAAATCTTTGCATTAGCCTCCTCTGTACCATCTTCAAGTTGCAACTTCTCATTCATATTCATCGGTGTAGTAGCTGGCTTGCAGTTGAGTAAGTTGAACCTTTTGAGAAGATCTATTGCATATTTTCTTTGTGAAATGAAAATCCCATCAACTCTTTGCTTTACCTCGAGGCCAAGAAAATAATGCAATAATCCCATGTCTGACATCTCAAATTTCTTCATCATATTAGACTTAAAATCAGCCACAAGAAAATCAGAGGAGCTCATATATATAATATCATCAACATAAAGACAAACAATGATAAAGTCGTCTCTATATTGCTTCTTCACGTAAAGGGTGGACTCATTTTAACTTCTTGTGAAGCAATTTTGACGAAAGAATCCATCAATCTTGCTATACCATGCCCGTGGTGCTTGCTTTAGCCCATATAGTGTCTTCTTCAACTTGTACACCTTTGCCTCCTTGCATTCGATTATGAACCCTTCAGGTTGAGCAACATAAACGTCTTCTTGCAAGTCTCCATTTAAAAACGCAGACTTGACATCGAATTGATGAACATGCCAATGTAGTTGTGCAGCCAAAGCTAAGACAATCCTCACAGTTTCAAATAGAGCAACCGGAGAAAAAGTTTCTTCGAAATCGATACCTTGCTGTTGTGAATACCCTTTAGCTACGAGCCGAGCCTTGTGCTCTGATACCATTGTTAGGACCCGCCAAATTCTACATTGGTAT